CACGAGTTATCAACCAACCTATGTTTGAGCTTAAGCCATTGACATTATGGTTCCGTAAACATTGGTATCGAAGAGTTATAGTTGATTTGTTTCCTAGTAAAATCTATTTCGAAATTAGGGAAAATCATATAGAAAATTTGTGCGGTGTTTGTTGCATCTCAGGAGATACTGTAAAGGACAGAGACGGTTTTGGAAGGATTATATTAACCGACTCGGGGTCTAACTTCATTTACGTATGGATTTTTGTGACATCATCGATTGCGTATGTTACTGGATTTTTGTTAATAAGATTTTCTCAAACCAAGGAAGAAATGGGAACCAATGTTTTTATGTAAACTGTAATATGTTATCGAAAACCTAAAAAAGGCCATTTTAGTGGATTGGCACTTTTCTATGTATTTACATAATTTGGTATGCTGTCAACATAATTTGGTACATTTTTTGGGACCTTTTTTTTGGTAAAAATGAAAGTAAAGAACCTTTTTTTTTAGTTTCTCTATCTATACTTTTATTTGTGATTTTTTGTGAATTATAATTTATCTTTGATGAAAATCTGTTTATATCCATAATTTTGTTAACAAAAAATATTTTTATAAATAAAATATGATTAGTTACGAGTTTTAAACAAAAAAATATATTGCCTTCCTTTTCTGAAACCCTCTATTGATAGAAAATATACAAAATAATATATTGCCTTTTTTAAAAAACCCTCTAATTGACATGATAGGTTTACATAGGGTAAACAAAATATTCGATTTCCTAAAATGCTAGATTCGTAGATTTCGAGTTACGAAGAGTTATCCTTGGTTGTACTAGAAGAAGGAAGAGAGTTGGAAGAGGAGATGGCGGACTTGTGTTTTTTTTTAAAGAGGGAGAGTGGGATCCGAATTTTCTGGGTTTGGATGTGGGTTGATCCATTTAAGGTGATTGGGTCTGTAAATAAAAAATTTCATTAGGGGGTTTTGGGTCTTTATCCTTTTTTCGATTTTTATACACAAAATTTAAATCAAAAATATTTTTTTTTTTAACAGAAGGTTATATCTGAATAGCATTGGTCCTATAAGGGTATAGGAGGACATGGTCCTATCAATAAAGTGTTTAATTGAACAAATTTTCAAATTGGCATCGAGCTTGAGACATTCATTGGCATTGTAGCTATCATATCATCGATTTCCCGACAGAGCAAGATACTGCAAACAAGACACTTGAGTTAAGAAACACAAGCATATCAATTTTAATGGACTGGGTCCTAATAATAAATTCACACTTCGACCTTTGTATCTTACAATCAAATGAGAAAGTAGGAAAACTCAAACCACACAGAGCAAACTATATATGGTTTTCTGCTGCACTCATTCCTTCTTTTTACTTTGCTCCTTTATTTCCGTTTCATCATATATCCAGGAAGTTAAGATGAGCGGAATCCCAACGCAGATGGCTTCTATAGCGAGTCCACGAGTAAACCCGGAGAAATCATCCTCCGTCACCCCGACAAATGATGCGAGAACTATTCCAAGATATCCGCTAACTATGAAGGCGAGTGCAATGGCTGACATGACAAATGCCATGAGAGAGCCTTCGCATCCAGGAGGACAGAGGCGGGCCATCAAGACGGTGAAAGGCAGAGTCTTGAAATAAAAGAGAGCTTCCAAGATTCCAGAAAAGAAGAGTACATATACAGAGTCAGGCACTCCCAATTCGCGGTAAACGCCTTTGACGAACAAGAGATCGGATATGACAAAGACAGCTATTGTTCCCTGAATGGCTGCGATGAGTTTCCTGGGGCGGATAGATTTCAGCCAGCGATTGTATGCAAGACCCCAAAAGAGCATTGCAATTTGGCCAAAGACCTTGGAGATCCCTACAAGCGATGCGTCGGTTTTCAGAAACTTAGTTTGGTAAAAGAACATTGTCCCATTCAGAACAGGAACAAGAGCGGTTGATAACGCAATCCAGGCAATGGAGTAAGAAATCTCCGGCTTCCTGAGCACGAGGGAGAGGTCGGAGATATGTTTTCCGATACCAGCAGGTGATGGGTTTTTGGGAAGATTGAGAGAGCTTTCTGGGATGCTTATGGTGACAAGGAACTGAACAAGAGCCAGAATGCCAAACAAGAAGAATGTGGACTGAGAGGAAAAGGTTTTGATGGCAATACCACCTAAAAGGTTTCCCAGGATTCCACCGAGAGAAGAAGCCATCCAAACAAAGGAAGGTAATGACTCATTACCGTTTTGCTTTCCGGCCTCAGCAACAATGGCGTCATTCGCTACTTCTGCTAACGAAGCACCGAGATTGCTAAGGAGAAGATAGAGGGACAGAGCTAAGATCGAGACATTGGATCTGGAGAGGAAAGCAATGGCAAGCCATGAGGATGACTGAAGCAAGGCTCCAAAAGCGATGTAAGGGATACGGTGCTGGCCGAAGAAGAAGACAGCGTCGGAGAGGATACCGTAGATGGGCTTAGCGACCATAGGGAGATTGGCCGAATTCTGGAGAAGCTGCAACACACAAGGATTCACACGGAGCTCATCTGTCAGGAAGAAATTCGCTCCAAGCCAAGGGAAACCCCTAAATCCTTGTACCAAGTATCCCAGACCAAGCACCCACCGGATCCGACCACAATTATCGCTGCTCATCGGACTTGAGATTCCAAGCAAGGATATTCCGAATCAGAGGGATTTTCTTTTACATTCTTCTGTCTTTTGTCTGTTGATTTGTATAATTTCTTTATTTTAGATATTTTAGGAAATATAGAGAGAGACATATACATACATCATGCTCTGAGAGTACCGACATATATATTTTTTTTTTAATGTCGGCCATAGAGAACAAATTATTTTATTAGTTTCTAAATTGAATAGTTTTCGATCCAAATCCATGTATATTTTCACTAAAATTATTTTTTCATAGAACAAATTTAAACCTTGGAGATTTTCGAAATAGTACTAAATTCCTCCAAAATATGTTACATGAAAAGGTTGGAAAATTGTCCTAAATTACTTAACAATTGTTTTGCCTTGCGCATATGAATTCAAATTATTTGTTCAAAATTTATAGTAACAAATAAATTTAATTAGTATATCTAAAATTATAGTAATATGTTTGGGGTGACGATCCAATTTGTAAATCTATTGAACATATTTGTCCGCAGAGAAGATGAATTATACCTGAAACTGTAAAGTTGGTAAGAGCTTATCAAAATGGCAAAAAAAAATTTGTTTTTTATTATTCTCCGACATTTAAGTCACATAAACATATGAGTGGACATTTTTCTTATCGGGAGATTAAGGGGTATATATCACAACTTTCCAACTTTTCTCCTAACGTTTCTTCAATCCAGCATCAGCATATCCCGTATACTCCGGTTGAGGAGCTGCAGTCCGATCCCTCCCCCGCCGAGAGAAGAAGTCATCCAAACAAAGGAAGGTAATGACTCATGGCTTGCGTCTAAAGGATTCCACCTAAAAGGTTTGCGTCTTGACAAACTTATACCCGAGTCAGTTGGCTTTTTCTGCATGGAGTGTGTTGTTTGACTTGGAAATCATAAGGATTTGACATGCCAACTTTGTTTGACGAGCTATGTCGGTACCTTTTACATCTTACAAAGGGTGTCAGCATGTTCTCATTACGTGGATCTTCAGGGATATCTTGACCTCCCTATCATCCTGCGGTTCTCTCCTTACAATGTTTATAGATGAACCTTGGCGTGCGTCACTAGGATCTGTCTTGCTTTTTTTGCAGGTAACATCAATCCGAGCAAAGAAATCAATTCGTTACGATGTCTTATCATCCTTTTGCATGGACAATGTAACATGGCATTCCTATTGAACGCTTGTTCCCTTCATGTCATCTCGTTAGTCTTTGTTTTTCTTCTCCGTGTTCCTCTTTTCACGTGAGGTAAGTAAAATGTGACCAAAGAGTCTTCATCATATAAGGAAGGCAAACTCCTCTGCCTTGGATTGTCTCACCTTTAAAAGCATGTTCAATGGTAGAATCCCTCATGGAGTTCTAACCAATTTATTTATTATATATTTTGCATCAATATACTTTAAGAACTTCTTCAATAGATTTTAATTTTTTTCTCTTCCAATGGTAGAACCTCATTAGGGATTCTTAATAATAATAAAAAAATATGAAAATATTTTATTAAGTAGAATTTATTTTTTCAAAATTTATAAACATAGTACATTGAATAAAACGAAAAATATATTGCATTTGATAAACGCGTTGTACGCATATTTTTTTTTTCGTGTCAAAAAAATCATCCACGAATCAAAAGGTGACACGTGGCACCTAAGAACCACTTTTTAAATCTCTTAATTAAGGATCGGTTCTTACTAATACAACTAATTTTTATTTAAATTTAATATGTTTTGCCTGAAAAAATTGGCTTAAGAACACTATTGCACATGCTCTAAGGAACTTCACTAACCCAATATATACGTCTCTGGGGCATGATTCTCTAAGTACCTTGCCGATTTGTCATGTTTTTGCGAAATGGGACTTTCATGGTTGCTGAGGCATCCTGTAAGTGACCGCTAGACGTGGTCGTGACGTAAGTGTGAGTTTTAATATTGATAACACTAAAAATTAGCTGAAAGTATACATGCAATTACAATAGTACCTAGGGTCAATCCACCGGAGACCGGAAGATATTACGCTACGAATTTATAATATTCAAACTAATATTCGAATAGTTGAATTTTTGGATTTATGAGAAACAAAATAAAGAAACAACATCAAGTAAAAAATCAACCAAAGAAAAATGTTTGGTATTAGGCAATTCACATAAACTCTTGAAGACAAAATATATATTGATTTAAGAATTTAATAAAAACCGTTCTACAACTCAAATAATTGATATACAATCATTCCACTTTCGTAACTTTGATTACTATGCTTTAACATCCTAATATACTCAACCCTCACATTATTATTTCAAGAAGAAAGCATGCATGAATTCATTTGAGACTCAACTGTTCACAATACTCCATAGCTAAACTACCACAAATTATGACACATGGCTCACCAAATACTAGTTTAGAGAAATAAATGCATAATTCTCGTAGTGCTATTTTCCTAGAGACCATTCAGTGGTTAGCTACTCCAACTCAAACATTGAACACAAGTAAAAGTGAAGATTCCATAAGATAAAACCTAATAAATTCGATATCAAATATGTATATTTCTGAAATCATTGAAAAACCTAACAAGTACATTACTCATAATGTTTAAATTAAACACAGATACTCAAGAATAGATAGAAACATCATAGATATATTGAATGAAAGAGTTCATGGATATAAATCTTCTCTAATTGAAGTACAAGGCGAGATCTTCCCTTAGAACGCTTAAAATAAAAATCAATTAAGAACTATGAACAAAAATCATTGTTTATGGTAATAAAATCAAACGAGATCTTT